ACCTCGCATATCCAATCAGTTGCCAAATTTTGCTGTTTCCACCTTCTGTCATATCCCAACCTTCCGTCCATTTATGTAGCTACTACCTTCATTCAGATCCTCATCCTTTCCTACCTAGATTATTGCAAGAGCCTCCTAATTACTCTCCCTGTCACAAGTATCTTCCACTCCAGTCCATCCTATACATAGCTGCCCAAATAATTTTTCTTCACCACAAATCTAACCATGTTACTCCCATACTTAGCCAATTCCAGTGTCTTCCTATTCCTTCTGGGATAAAACATAAACTCCTCTGTTTAATTTTTAAAGTCTTCCACAATCTGTGACCTATTTTTCCAACCTCATTGGATATTACTCCTGTACTCTGCAATCCAGTCAAGCTAACCTATTGGTTCCTCACACAGGGCATTCCTTCTTCTATATGTTTGCCTTCACACTAGTTGTCTCTGTGCTTAGAATATGCTATCTCCTTATCTCTACCTCAGAGTCTTTCTCTTCCTTTAAGACATCTGTTAAGCATCATCTTTCTACATGAAGCTGCTAGTACTCTCCCTCCCAAACTATCTTTATTTTGCATCTATTTGTAATTATTCATTTTATATTTGTGCCGCATACATTTATGTACATAAGCACACATATCTTTCGTGTGTGTGTGTGTGTGTGTGATCTCTTGTCTTGTCTCCCCATTTGCTCTTTGAGCAAAGGAATTACTTCTTTCTTTGTATTATATACCCAGAGCTTGGCACAGTGCCTAAAATGTGGTAGGTACTTTATTAATACTTGTTGATTGATTTGCTCAGTCTGAATTATGATTCTCAAAGCATACTTTGGGAAAGGAGTTCAGCTTGAATCAATAATTAGACCCAATGTCCATTTTTTTTCATTCAGTGTTAACTGAGTGTTAACACACAATGTTTAACAAAGAGTCTTGTACATAGTAGGTGCTTAATAAAGGTTTGTAGATTTAAATTGAGTTAAATGGTTCAGGGGTTGCAAAAATAGGCAGGATGTAGAGCTGGGGAAATCTCCTGAATACCCCCGAGTTAAAGAGATGGCTTGGAAGGGACTTGGAAGATTCCAAAAGGTTTATGGCTGCTACTTACTAGTTCAATAGAATGACTGCATTGGGATTCTAACGTCTCAGTATCTGATGTACAATGTAAGGAAGTGGTAAGGACACAAAGACAACTTTGGGAGGAAGATCTGAACCTTTCCAAAGAAATATAGAAATAAATCTGTATAATTTTAAAGGCACTCAGATCTTGATTTTTTGAGATAGCTCAAGAGAGAAAGGTTTGGAGAGAATTGAAAAGGTCAGACCGAAATGATTCTTATGAACTAAAAGTGGCTAAGAAAACATTAGTACCTATTGACCCCTTTGGCTAAATTTCTTTTCTCTATAAAATCTACAAAAAAGTTTAATGTTTGCCTGAATATCATCCTTGGTGAAAATATGAAGAAGGAATATTCAGATTTTTATAAGTGATTTTTCATAGTTGATAGATCATATTTTTGCAGTCACACAACTGACGGAAATGAATAGAATCCTGACATGTATGTTGTTTGTGAATGCTTTTTTGAAGCATTTAACTCAGAAGAACAAAATTCCATCTTGCAGGCTTTCCCTAGATATCTTCCTAGTTTTCCATGCATGCATTGAAAGTACACAAGATCTATGACAGATGTGAATGAAAATAGCTTTGTTTATTGATTTACTGCATATTTACATGAAAGGAGGCACAAAATAGGAAGATATAAGATTACATAAGGTCAGAATTATGGAAGATGTCCCAAGCAGATGTCCTAAATAAAAAAGATTTCCATCAATTGACACTCTCTTTAAATTTTCCTATTCATAGATGACCTTTTGCTAATTGTATCAAGACTAAATCCCAAAGGGAAAGGGGCCTATATGTACAAAAATATTTATAGCAGTTCTTTTCGTGGTGGCAAAAAATTGGAAATTGAAGGGATGCCCGTAAATTGAAGAATGGCTGAAGAAGCTGTGATATACGATTATGGTGGAATACTCTTGCTATGAGAAACGATGAGCAGGATGGGAAAGCTTATGTGAACTGATGCAAAGTGAAGTGAGTGGTATCAGATAAACATTACACAAAGTAATAGCAATATTGTAATGATGATCAACTGTGAAAGACTTAGCTCCTCTAATTAATACAACAATTCCAAAGGTTTCACAATGAAAAATGCTATCCACATCTAGAGAGAGAATTTATAAACTCTGAGTGCAGATTGAAATATACTTTTTCACTTACTTTATTTTTCTTTCTTTTTTCTTCAACATGGCTAATATGGAAATACATTTTGCATGACTTCACATGTATAACTGATATCATATTGCTTGCCTTCTCAATGGATGGGGGAGGGGTTGGAAGGAAGGAGAGAATTTAGAACTCAAAATTTCAAAAAAATGGATGTTAAAATATAGTATGTTTGACAAAATACCAAACCCCAAAGCTTCAGTGAAATCCATAATAACATAAAAGAGATCAGTCTAAGAATCCACATTTCAAAAACAAAGTGGGTGAAAAATGCACAGTATACAGATTATCACACACAGCTAATCAAATAGATAGGCTGCCTATTGATTCAGTTTGTCTCTTTGTCTCTCTCATTTATCTATACATGTGTATGTACATATTCTATAAAAGAATCCAGTGTCCCTAGGAATAGCTGTGTTTATATTTTTGCATGTATGTTTGTTTATATACACATCTTGGGCAGGCACTGCAGCTAGATGATGATTTGGTCCCAGAAATGAGTTTGAAGAGAATGAGCTGGGTGACATTTGGTAAATTATGCAGTACTTCTGATGATCTTAAGCTATCCACTGCTGCAAAAACTTACCTCTTTAATGTCCCCATACTCATTGATGCTCTGTGGCTGGTCTTGGAAGAATCAGCATTATGAATAACCCAAAGGAAGATTGAAAAATGCATAGAGCATATAAATAGCCTCTTGGATTTTGTCAACAGTGATTTATGAATGGAAAGTGATATTAAAGATAGTATCAAGGACATGTATAATTGGAAAAGGAAGTGAGATAGTCAAATAATGTAATTGAGAGACAACAAATGGACCAAATAAACTGAGCACTGCAGTGGTACTTTCAAAGTATGAAAAGAATTAGAGTAAGTGTAGTGGATAGATTTTCCATGCATGGTTTATGGAAAGAATGCTGTCATTTCTCTTACCCGCATGTTGGAATCCTTGACTTCCTTCAATACTCAGCTTAAATGTCACCTTCTACAGGAGGCCTTTCCCATTCTTGGAACTGTTAGTACCTTCCATCACAATATTGCCTTCATCTACTCTGTAACCATCTTATGTAGGGGGGAGAGAGGGACAGAGAGAGAGACAGAGAGAGAGACAGACAGACAGACAGACAGACAGAGAGAAAGAAAGCAAGGAGGGCTGTGATCTGAACCAATGAGAAGAAACTACCTGCAATGATGAGCTCAAAGCTCCATTAATAAATATATCCTTAATTAATTCTATAATGCTACAATTAATTTGAGATTTCATTGATCATAAATGGTCATTACATCCAATGACACACATTGCATGCATGCTTGTTCATTCTGTGTGCCTCTTGTCCACATCATCTCATAAATCCACTACAAAGACCTTCCTTTTATTCTTTTGACATTGTGTGGGTACCAATGAATGCAAGGGCTGAGCATTAGCTATCCCTTACTGTTGCTACATAACTAGTCTTTTTTCTGGTCATATGGTTTTCATATAACAAAGATATCACTTCTGTGTAATTCCTCATTGTAATCACCTTGACAGCAGGATCATTTAATTTTTTATCTTTGTTATTACCTCACCTAGCACAGTGCCCATCACGTAGTGGGACTTAACAAATGCTAACTTATTGATTATTGTTTTAATTGCATATCATTCATTTTCTAATTTTTAACTCCAATTAAAAAAAATTAATTTTGATCATTGCTCTAACAAGTCAGTGTTCCAGTTATACACAGATAACTGATTTGGACATTAGTCTGTTATCAGTAACAAGTAATTTGCAAGTCAATTCCTATCTGTTAAATAGAATTAATTTCATTTTGTGATATTATTTGGTACTTGCCAAGTCTAACACCTACCAGTTCTTTTCACAAAAAAGTATTCATCTTATACAAACATGAAACTCTTATATAGTCTACAAGCCTTTGGTCTTTCTTGTAGTTTGCTGTTCAATCATTTCAGTTTTGTCTGACTCTTTGTGATCCCAATTTAGAGTTTTCTTGTAAAAGATACTGGAGTGGTTTGCCATTTCCTTCTCTTCTCTTCTTCTTGCCCAGGGTCACACAGCTAGTAAGTGTCTGAGGTCAGATTTGAACTTGAGAAAATGAGGCCTGACTCCAGGCCTGGTACTCTATCCACTGTGCCCCCTAGCTGTTCCTTTCTTGTATCTTACAGGTGCTCAATAGATTCTCCCCTTCCAACATATCCCCCTTTGCAATGAAGTTACAGAGTAACAAAATGATTTTGATTTAATTTAGAGTGTCATGATCTTCATAAAATTCTTATATCTGCTTATCCTCTGTGGCCAATATAGGCACATAAGCTAAAATATTTCCATGGGGTCTTTTTGCAAATACTTTTATGAGCATGGCAATAGGTTATGACCAAATGACTCGTGGAATGATGCTTCTTGTTGCCCTCAGATACCCAATACAACCATCCCTTGTTTGTTTCTCCAGGAAGAACCTCTGGGACATCACTGAATTTCGCTACAACATTCTTCTTGTCTTTCATTGATAATGATAATATAAAGATCAATACAAGTCATTTCTTTCAGTACTATTGAATCATTGGTCAATGGACAAACATCTTACAGAGTGCCCACATCTAAGTGAATGTTCATAGGTGTGATTCTTAGCACCCTTTTCTCCCTTTTTTGCCATTCCTCTGCCATCACTGGGGGAACAGAAGAGGCTGACAGTGATGTTACATTTTTCTTTGTTTCATAGGTTGCCCTGGCCAAAGAATTCAGTACCAAGGGACCAGACTACTTGTGATAAATTTCAGTACTCCAAAATCTTTCAAGCATGGTAAAAACCTTCCAGTGTCTGAAACTCCCTACAGTTACCTCCATGCCATGATGAGGCATCAGAGTAGAATGTCATGGATACTGTTTATATAATACTTCAGACAATACCTATCTCACAGGTTTATCATGAGGATCAAATGAGATAATATAAGCACTTTGAAAATTATAAAGTTAAAAAGTGCTAAACAAATTAAGTGATTTTTATTATAATAGTATGAAATTTGTCTTCATTGGTTAAATGCTACAAAGCCAACGTTTACTTTAACCCAAAGGCTGGTTCTCTTCAATCTCTGACAGCTCTAGACTGAAAGCAACAAAAAATAGAATAAAAGAAAAGAGAAAATGAAAGGGAGTATGAGAGGAAGAGGAGGAGAAAGAAAAGAGAAAGGAGAACAGAGCAGTAACAATCCTCAGATGTCACTATGGTACACATCTGTTAGCAAGACTTTCCTGAGAGTATATATATGATACAATACACTGGGAATGAGTCAGGGTAAAGCAGATTGGGAGAGTGCACTGACTCAATGAAATGATTCTCCAAAAGACCTGGGGCACAAATCAGCAATTAAAGCCCTCTAATCCTTATCAGAGAAAAAGTGGATATTGCTGCTGAGCTACCTACAGGGATCGTTGAAATATTGTGGAGAATGAAAAAGATACTCTAGGGCTGGAGAAGGACAATTTAAACATATATATAAAATTAAAATTTAAAATTTAACTTGAAGATTTTATTTTTTAATTTTAAAAAGGAAGAGAACAAAGTCTACAAACTACAAGTCAATGAACTTAACTTCAATGTCTAGGAAAATCCTAGGATTTTATCACTGTATCATTGAGGAGGTGATTAGTAAACATCTGGAAAAGGAAGAAATGATTACAAAGAGCTAGGATGGCTTCCCATTTATGCCAGACTAATCTTATTTTCATTTTTGACAGGGTTACTAAACTGGTAGATCATGAGAATAAAAACATAAAAAGCCAAAGTGGTGCCAGGGAGAGGGTTGCAACTGGTACCCTGAGAGATTTGTGTAACCTTGGGATGGTGGTCTGTCTCTGCAAACCTACACCTGCCAGTGTGAGAACAATTGTAGCAGGTGGGAGAGGAGCCAAAGCAGAGAAGTATCCCATGGCCAGGTAAGAGATATGAAGAGCTACAGCACATGGAGGTCATACATGGCCCTTGCAATAGGCTACAGCTTTGGGCTGATTTTAACAAAATGAAACAGGATTAAAGTAAAAGTCTTACACTTGGATTAAAAAAAATCAGGCTCACAAGCACAAGACCGGGGAAGCATGGCTAGTGTACAATTTTTCCGAAAAAATGTTCTGGGGGTTTTATTGGGTTACCAACTCAGCGGGAGCCATATTTTAACTTCTCTGTTTCTGTTAGTGGCATCCCCATCCTGCCAGTCATAGATCAATTGCAATCTACATCATTAGAAAGAACACACACACTAAAGAAACCACAAATCCACTTGTCTCTTCTGTATTTGCTTTTATCTGTGTGTGGTATTCCTCCAATAGACTATTAACTTTTTCTTTTTCCTTTTTTTCTTTTTATGAGGCAATTGAGGTTAAGTGACTTGCCCAGAGTCACACAGCTAGTGACTGTTGTGTGTCTGAGGCAGGATTCGAATTCAGGTCCTCCTGACTCCAAGGCCGGTGCTCTATCCATTGTACCACCTACCTGCCCCGACTATTAGCTTTTTAAGTACATTTTTTGTCTTTTTGTCCCCACAGCCTAGCATAATACCTGGTAAACATAGTAGTGTTTAATAAATCCTTATTGAATCAATGGATCTTGTAAATTTTGCAGAAATATATATATATATATATATATATCATATTAATACATTAATATTAAGCATTAATACAGCTCTATCTCTTTCAGACATTTACTAGTATCACCCATACTGTAAAGTTTAGAGGCTCATAGATTTAAAGGTAGAAAGGATCTTTGTAATCATCTAGTTCATCTCTTTTATATAATAGATGAAGGAAGTGAGGCTTAGAGTTACAGTGACTTGTCCAAGATCATAGAGGTAATAATATCAGAGAGGAGATCTAATCCTTAGTCCTCTGATGCCAAATAAAGCGCTTTTTAAAAATTTTTACTATATTGTGCTTTGTCTTAATACAAAATAGTAGCTCATCTGAAAATAATTTCTATCCTGCTTTAAGACATATTTTTCTCCAACAGATTTACTATGCTAATTATATTTGCTTACTCTAGTATCGGAAGAAAAATGGAGCAGGTAGGTGGTGCAGTACATAAAGCGCTGGGCCTGAAGTCAGGAAGACCCATCTTCCCAAGTTCAAATTTGGCCTCAGACACTTACTAGGTATGTAACCCTCAGTAAGTTACTTAACCCTGTTTGCCTCAGTTTCCTCATCTGTCTGTCAATGAGAAGGAAATGACAAACCACTCCAGCATCTTTGCCAAGAAAACCCTAAATGGGGTCATGAAGAGTCAGACACAGCTGAAGTGACTGAACAACAAAAAATATTAAAACTAATTTTCATTTTCTTAGAATACAATGAATCCTGAAGGAGTTAACACAGATGTAGACAGAAAATAAATGGTGAGAATAATACATGAAGCTAATAAAAGACTGAGTGTCTATTTCAGTTCTGAAGTGACGCCAGCCCTCTTTTCTGCCCATGTTTGAAAAGGTTATATTTTCTAGGCTTGTCTCCCAGTGCTCACAAAACTAAAAGTGTGAATCATTTGGCCAATTCACAATGATTAACACAAATGATAATGTAAGTATCTGGAATAAAAAGCCCTGACTTTGGAATCAGGTGGCCTGGATTGAAATCCTTCCATTGACTCTACCTATTTGACTTTGGGCAATTAACTTTACTTTTTCAGGCCTCAGCTTCCTTATCTGAACACGAGTTTCCTTCCAGATCTAGACCTGTGATCCTATAAAGCCCTTTTTAATCCCCTGTTTCCTTGAAAAAAAAAAAGATCTATACTTAAGGCAGAGAAAAATGTGAAATTGTCATTGGTCATGAAGGAAACGGCGTATAACCAATCATCTACTATGGGAAAGATGCAAGAATTTTATCCATTCTCTTCTCTGATAAGAAGTCTTAGGGTAAGAAAAAATAGGAATGACATCTGAGAAAATGTTTAGTTTCTGGGGTGTTTCAATTTCCCTCAGGCTGGCCTTTGGTGAAGTGTACCAGGCAGGTTGGACTGGGATTCAAAATATTAGAAATAGAAGACTGTGTAATACTCAGTGATGGATATCACACTAGTCCTGTAGGTGTGTGGCCTATTTATTTTGACTTAATGACATTTTCAAGTAGAAAAAATGGGTTAGGCTTGAACTAGACTTATTGTGTAATCAGTTCATGTCACGACAATATTTTGGACTTCCATGTTGTCCCTGTGAAATATTCTTCGTGATCATAGAATCATACAGATTCAGAGCTGGAAGGGATCTGAGACACAACTCTACTACTTGCTGTGTGTCCTTGGGCAAGACGTTTAATCTCTATGAGCTTCACTTTCCATTACTGACAATCTTCAGGTCACGATGTTTGGCCAGTTCTGAATCCATCCGCTTCTAATATCTCTCTATCTTTTCCACAAGAATAGCATGGGATATTGTATCAAATAATTTGCTAAAAATCAATGTAAGCTATATGTACAGCCTTCCCCTGGTCTCACTAATTTGGTAAGCCTATTAAAAAAAAAAGAATTGACTACTTGTTCTTAATGACATGACATCAACTCTTTTTGATCATTGCTTGCTTTTTTTGGATGGTCACAACCATCCATTTAACAGCACATTCCAGAATTTTTATAATAATCAAAGTAAAGGTTACTGGCCTATAATTTGCAGGCTCCATTGTCTTTCTGTTTTTCGAAAATCAGGACGACATCTGTCCTTCTCTTTTCCCCACCATACCTCCACACCTTCTAGTCCTTGCAGTACTCAGAAATTTAGTTCTTCTGAACCAGAAAACCCAAACACATCAAGGACAGCTAAGCATCTGTTATGGGAAAGATGAAAGAGTTTTTTTCCTTCTTATCCTGAGAATTGTCTCTTTTGGCCACACTTGTTTTGCTTTGCTGAGAAAACAGAAACAAAATCAGAATTAAGCAGCTCTGCTTCTTTGTCATTAGCTGGCATATTCCTACCCACTATGAGCAGTGTTCCTTCTTCTTTTCTCTAATATACTTGAATGTATCACCATCTCGGCTGTACGTTCTGCAAGCATTGCTGTGGAGATCAAGATACAGGACCTGAAAGGCCCAAAAGAGATATAGTTACCCCAGCATTTCCCATTTCTGAGATAGCATGGTGCAGTGAATGGGGCATTGAACTTGTAATCCAGAAGACCTGGGTACAAATCTTATTTCAGATACTTACTAGTTGTGTGACCCTGGGCAAATCACTTACCTTCTATGCCTCAGTTTCCTTATCTGTAAAATGGGGAAGTTGGAATCTGTAGCCTTATAGCATTAACTCTATGGTCCCCTGATTACCTTAAAGATCCCCTAGGGAATTTTGCCCTGAATATGAGGATGAAGGGACATGTGGGAGCAAGAAGCAGGGAGGAAAATGGTCTGAGGAGGGTCACCACTGCAACTAAAGTGGAGATGTAGGGCCTTGCAAACTTTGAGAGTTGAGTATGCATCAAGGGATACAGCTCCAGGAGGTCAGAATTAGCCAGGAATAGTCAGGATTAGAAGCCTATGAAGTTGCAGAGACGAGATGGTGTGGCATTGGGCTTGAAACAGCCTAGAGACTGTTAGTCCTGATCTTACTTGTGAGCAAGAGTAGCCCACCTTCACTGAGCTGCCTCTATCTACTTTCTGCTTTCATCCATCTTAACAGAGCTGCACAGACAGGAATGGCTGTCTATAGCCTCTCACACTCCTACCCCTTTCTGTCTATATGGTTGTGGGCTATACCTGTCAGTCTTTAATAGTACTTTTCCAGTTTTATGTTTCTTTTGGGAATGTATTTTGTCTGTTCCAGGTGCATTTTATTTGAAAGCACATAGAAGACTGGGTATAAAGGAAGGAAGGAAATATAAAAGATTAGAGTTTATTTCTCTGTGTAAGAGGGTGCCCCTTTCAGATTCTGATAGCTTTGCTGATGGAAAAGGACATGTACAAAGTCAATTATGTGATGTATATATTTGAAGAACACTAAAAAAGCAGCCACAGAGACAGGGCACTTACTCATGATAAAGCTGATCATAGTGTCCCTGCATCTAATATGCATATGAATAGCAGGAGAACTTTATAGTTGATAACTGGGAAACCCTGAACCCCAGAACTGTTTTGCGACTCTTGGACACATGTACATTGCCTATTTATGGCATATCTGAGAGAAAGCTCACCAGGAGCTACAAAAGAGTTTTCTCATGGAAGGGGCCCTGCTTTAAACTAATATGGTTGGTCTAACAACAGATCTCAAAGCCTGGTGGAAAAAAGGTTTTTACCTTCTTCTATACTGCAATGTACTTCCTAGAAGAATTGATCAATTAAAGATGGACTTTACCTTTCTTTGCACTTTCTTGCTTCCTGTTAGATAGAAATTCTAGACATCCCACCCAAAGGAGCACAAATAGAAAAAAAAAAAAGCCCTACAAATCTCAGGATGAATGTCTTTGCTCTTTCTTGAAAGAGTGCTTCATTCTCCCAGCAGTGAAGAGGAACATTGTGGTCCAGCAGAGGAACAGGACAATCCTCTTCTAGCATAGGTGCAACGTAGCTCAGAAAAACAGTGGTCTGGACCAGAAGATGTGCCACGTTTCTATTAATGACACCACATCCATTAATTAACTTTCATTTGGACTGTTCCTGAAGAAAAGGGACATCAAAGCCCCCAGCTCCAGAGTTGTGAGTTGCTCTGCGTGCATGTGTTTATTATACATGATTCTCATTACTGCAGTAATTTATGTTCACTTTACCCCATGGACACTATATAGATTAGCAGGACAGTGTGTGCAAGGCTTATGGGTAGAATACTATGTTATAATTATTATTGCTTTGCCTCATATTTAGTAAATGTTTGATTAAGACTTAATGGAGCTAGCAGATTTGTTGAGTGGAAAGCATACCAGTATAGGCTTAGGAGAAAAAAAATATATGGTAATAAGAGAGTAGG